ATAACTTGCTTGGACCAAAAAAGAAGAAAAAAGAAAAAAACACAAAATAATTAGAGCTTCACATACTATGGGGAATAGAGGTCATCATAGAAGTCGTCTTCCCGATCAACCAACTGCTGCAATTTTGGGGGGAGCTTCTCTCGGACTATAGGCTTATCCAACAACTCCTGCGGGGGAGACTGGGATCCATCTGGTTGACGACCGCCCCAGACCATTGTGGATGTAGTATAGATGATCGGTGATGGTTTATGTAGTCAAGCAACGCTTATTCGCGTGCCAATTTGTGAAGGGGGTATATAATATGTAGACAATAAAGGGGAAGAATGAGGGAAAGCTGTGCAAGGGATAAAACGAGTTATTATTGAAAGATTCTCATATTAACCGCATACTACAGCCGAAGACAGCCAGCCATAGCCGACATATAGCATCAGATGTGGTAGTTTCCTTCCGAGGTACCGTTGGTATCCTCCGGATCGGGATATGTAGAAGTAACCTTGGAATACGGGACCTCGGGATGATGTCGGCGCCGAACTCAATATTTGTTCTTCGTCGTCAAACGTTTGAATCCGAGCTTTAGCTTATCGGTTTCTTTCTTTCATCGAGTTCAAACTAGCCTTTTTGGTGTTTTCGTGTTGTGATTGATCTTCATGTGCCAATGCACTGTTGACGTTTCGATTCGGAGAGGTCACATGATATCGGATGCGGCCGGGTGGCCGAGTGTCCTTACCTAATCATCCACTGTTCCGAAGTCATGTGAACTGTCTAACCATATTAGGAAAGGCGGTATCCGTGCCGACCTCGTCGTTTGGTGCAAGCCTGAGGATTCCGTCCACATCGCTGCCAATTGAACCTCTCGCTGTACCTCAATTCCAACCCTACAAAATGGTTGTCTACTACCAGATCGCTGGCAAGAAGGTCGGCTCCCACGTCGTAAGTTTTTCTATCTCCCAAAACGCCGCCGCGTGCTCGCCATCCCTTTTCCATCGCGCTTCGTGCGGATCCTTGTGAAATATGGAAGTTGACCGGGTTCCCTCCACCCCCTCATTAGCTCGCCATGGCCACCCTCGGCAGCATCTTCGCCGGTTCCTGGCTTGCCGTGTCCGGTGGTGAAAAGCCCAAGACCGCTCAGGGTCCCCCCATCAACGCCTCCTCCAAGGATGAGGAGAACTTCGTCCAGTATGTCCAACATCGTCGCCGAGAACAGAGAACTACCGACCATGAATTGGATCTTATATCGGCCCGAGCGTCTTGCTAACTTCATATCTCACAGGAACTTCATGAAGGAGATTGATGGCGGCGAGAAGAAGCCCGCCGCTGGCCATTAAACTAATCCTCGATACGGCTTATATTGATGGAGCGGTCGAACATGAGGAGCTATGATTTGTATTCAATCAAACTGCCTCCGAAGTTGTGCCAGTTCTAGCGCGCACCGATGTTTATCCGCCCTTCCGCAGCTTTTTTTGTGACCACGGTTTTTTCGAGAAGCTACACGGACCGATCTTGGGATGTCGGCGGATGAGGTTGATTGATCTGTACATAGGAGGCGTGTACGCTGCATAGAAAATTATCCTCTTGACACTGGCTTTTCAGACCTGTTCTTCCCCTGCCAGTGAGCAAGATCAATCGCGGAAGAAGAAAGATGAGTGGTACGATTGCTTTGACGCAATCTCACACCGGGTCGCTCGGAGTCGGTGCTTGGCAAGAGCCCTCTGTGGACTTTCACCTTGGCATGAGTATTGCTCTTTATGGCTCCGATTAGCTTGCCTATCCGGTCAGTGGGAGTGCTTTGGCAATGAGGGACTGTAAAGCGAAACGAGAACATGTAGAGGTAAACAGCATAGAACAAGCATGCTCTGAAACCACGCTAATGGTCACACGCGACATTCGTACACGATCAATAATTTCCTAATGAGTTAAGCACAAGTACTCCAATCAACTTAAAAAAAAAGCTCGACGGCTATTCCGAGGTGTCCAACACCTCCGCCGCAACCTTCCTACCTACCACTTCACCCCCACAACAACTCCCCCAAGAACGCCCACCAACAACCAGAAACCCCAAAATGAAACCCCTTCCCTTCCCATTTCCCCTGAACATCGGCACAGACATCGTCCACATCCCACGAATAACCCGCCTCCTCACCCGACCCAACTATCTCCCACGATTCACGCGCCGCATTCTCTGCGACCAAGAACAGCACGACTTTCACACGCGCTTCAGCGAAGTCCTCAAAGCACGCGCCGCATACCATCAACAGCCTGCACCTGTGCCGGCGGACATAACACGCTGGCTGGCGGGACGCTTCGCGGCAAAAGAGGCGGCGCGAAAAGCGGCGCCGTCCGGTGCGGCTTCGATTGGCTGGAAGGATGTCATGGTCCGGGTTCAGGAGGATGGAGGGAGGTTTGGCGAGGATGTAAGTCGGAGACCTGAGATTGTCTATCTTGCGAATGCGCTGGATGGGAATACGGGTGAGGGGAGGGTTGCGAAGTTATCGATCTCGCATGATGGGGAGTACGTCGTTGCTACTGTTTTGGCTGCTGGATGAATTGTTCGGTTTATTAGACTCTGCTTTAGGGTTGAATCCCATCGCAACTCTTGTGGCTGGTTCACTCGGTCTCTTAAGGCTGTGGATAGGACGGCAAGCAGTCATTGCCTGGTACCCATGATATCATGGTTCGAGTGTGCAACTACTGGGGAGCTACTGGGGACACTGTTCTAGAGAGCAGGTTTAGAGGAAGTCAAGGCTTTGACATGATTTGCTATTGGGTTCGATTGGTTTGGCTCAATGCTTGCAATTGAGTCGTACTGGTCAAGCATGTCCACAACTTGAACGACAGTTGAACGACAGTGCGCTTCACTCGGTGACCTCATCATTGGCGTCCGGTACGATCGTGTTTCGCACCCTTGTGGTCAGCGATATCTGGGTAGATGGTGGCTGGAAGTAACATCTCATTGGAGTATATTGAAGAAATCAAATGTGAAAAGCTTAGATCCAAGGACCGATCAAGAAATTGTATACTGAATTATCCAGTATCGATCTATGAATAAATAATGCATTCATACAGTTGTTACTTCTTACTCCGCGCTATAAAACACCCGTGCGGCGAAATCCTTATCGTCTATCAATAGATGTCTGACTCCCCCACGTAACCGGCATATTTCATCTTCTTCGAACGTCCTAAAAGGCAGATGTGAGTATAGAATTTGTTCACGGTTCAATTCGGCTAAGCCTATTCCTGCCCTCCAACTCGGTATTTACTTCGAATATTGTGCTAACCACAAACAGTGACATATCCATAAAACATGCCGTTCTCGCATCACAGCCATTCGGGCCAATTCTGCCCTGGTCATGCCCAAAACTCCTTGGAAGATGTGATTCAAACTGCCATCAGCAAGAAGATGCAAGTCTTTTGTCTGACTGAACATATGCCCCGTCATAAAGAAGATTTTTATCCCGAGGAAGTGCGTAAGGAACACATCCACTGCAAACCTTGAATTAACCAATCATCCAGTTCGAATCTGGAGAAACAGAAGAAAGCCATGCAGCAAATGAGGCCGCTTACTGGAAGGAAGCAGTCACTCTCCGCGAGAAATACGCCTCCCAGATCAAAATCATCATCGGCTTCGAGATTGACTGGATCCGACCCGCCTCTAAAGATTTGATCGAACGCTCACTTTCACGGTTTCCCTTTGAATTCTTCATTGGTTCGGTTCACCACATGCATACCGTGCCGATCGACTATGACCGACCTATGTACGAGCAGGCTCGAGAGAAAGCCGGCGGAACGGATGAGCGACTATTCGAGGACTACTTCGATGCACAGCTGGATATGCTGGAGCAACTCAAACCGCTTGTTGTGGGCCATTTTGACTTGATTCGTCTGAAGAGCGATGATATGGAGCGCAGCTTTACTACCTGGCCTGGTGTCTGGAGTAAAATTTTACGGAACTTGGACTTTATTGCCTCGTACGGCGGTATGCTGGAGCTCAATTCAGCTGCGTTGCGCAAGGGAATGACGGAACCGTATCCCAAAGCGGAGATCTGCAAGGTAACCAACGCAGTTCTTTGTTATATATCTTTGACTAATTTGATCATTTTAGGAATTTTTGGCGCGTAAGGGTCGCTTCTGTTTATCCGATGACAGCCACGGCGTCGACCAGGTTGCTTTGAACTTCCGCCCCGTGCTTGATTTTGTGGATCGCACTGGGATCTCAACACTGCATTATCTACAATTGGAAGCATCGGTGTCATCTCCTGTGCCCGATCCTCGGTTCCCTAAGACGCGAATTGTGGAAATTTCAGTGGAGGACGTGAAGAAGATGGCATTTTGGTCATGATGTTACAATCTATGCTGTATATTAATGGGATTTTGCCTTGATATTTCTACTCTCATACCTATAGAACAGCTCCGGGGTTATCGCGGAGATGTTTCCCTTGCCATTACCCCTCCGCGGGGCATCGAGGGAACAAATAGGATGATCCTTTCTCTGGTCCAAGAAAAGGGCTGGTCTGAACCTGTCGTAGATCATGACATTGAGAGAGATTTCATCGGTGGCACTCGCAAAACCCACGAATTTGCCCGTCTTACGCAGATCATATCCCTATGTGTTGTAGTTTTAGCCCTGGTGTTACATTCGAGCTATTCGCAGCTATTCCCAGCTGATTCCAGCTGATTCCAAGCAAGCCAAGCAACTGTGTCAGGAATACATCCCAGTTCCAAAAGAGTTCTCGGGGCATTCTATTGCTGAAAAATCACCAGAAGTTGCCATTGAGTAAATATATGGGTACCCAGTCTATGATCTGAATGCTAGCCAATAAATTAAGCAGTAAAGCAACCATGTTGTTCGTTTTTAAAGACACTTGGAGTTCTACTCCGTACGTCCCCCCGCCCAGGAAAAAAGTGGATAATCTGCCCCTCCCGAGCTTTCCCCGTCTTCCTTTTTTGTTTCTTCTCTTCACAACTCCCATATTCATCCTACATATATCTCTATTACATTCACAATGGGCGTCGAAAAGAAGACTCTGGTCGAGGGCAACGGTGTTGACTACCCTAAGAAGGGCGAGCACGTTGCCATCCACTACACCGGCTGCTTGTATGACCCCGAGAAGGCCGATAACCACTTCATGGGCAGCCTGTAAGCCAAATCTCCATGCCACCTCCAGGTGCCTCACGCGCTAATATACCCTCAGCTTCGATACCTCCCACAAGCCCGGCCGTGGGCCCCTTGCCACCCCCATCGGTGTCGGCCGTCTCATCCGCGGTGCGTTTCAATATACCCCGACTGAGTCTCGTGTCAGAAATATAGATTTCTTCAGCTTGCTAACCTAATAATTAGGCTGGGACGAGGGTGTTCCCCAGATGTCCCTCGGCGAGAAGGCCATCCTGACCATCAGCCCGTGAGTTGCCATTTTACTTTCCTTTGCACTTTTGCGCGGATCTACTGAACACTGCTAATATTCGATTCTCGACAGTGACTTCGGCTATGGCGACCGGTATGTACCAACCAACCAACCTCAATGCTGAATCAACAATCCATCATTTCTGCGGATGCTTCCAATCCCTCACAACTCCAACATGCAACTTTGGTTCTCTCTATGAGATTTGTGCTGATATCCAATCATCTTAGTGGCTTCCCTGGCCTGATCCCCGCCAACTCTAAGCTTGTCTTGTGAGTAACTCATCTCTTTTCTCACTCCTGCTGCGAAGCCATAAGAGACAACTAAAACTAACTGCTCACAGCGAGGTTGAGCTCCTCAAGGTCGGCACTAAGAGTGTTTAAATCAACCGATGTTTCCGAATTTTCGGCTAGATATAAGATGTGCAATTACCAAACGAGAAAACGAACCACATTGATCATTCCTGCTCGTCTCATAGGGTCGGCAGGCTACTTGGATAACAAAATCAACGCCTGGTCTCTTTGCTGTCAATTGATTTGACTCGTTACCTGATGAAGAAAGTCAATTGGACTAGCACATGTCTGCCATCTGTTTCCCTTGTTCATGCACACAACGTAGATGATCTAGCCTAGCTTGCCTCCACATTACCGCGCGATGCTGTTGATATAATCAATCCCACCGACGCGGTATGTGTCAGCCTCGACATAACACTCATTTCGGGGTAAGCGGAAAACAAAGTTCGTCGCTCGGGACGAATACTTGGGCCATTTGGCAATATCCGGCACTAGAAAGAAGAAGTCAGATTTCAAACAATAGATTCAAGCCGCACGTGTGTTCTACTAACCACCATGTCCATTGGGATCTAAGTCTGCCACGAATGATGTCCACATCCGCGCTGCCATTTGGGCCAGTTTCAAGCGCTCAGGGTCGGACCCTAGCGGTTTGATGGCCTGCACTGGATTTGCAAAGACGAAAGGGATCTGTATAACCGATACAAGCGTCAGTCTATCTTGCAGACCAGAGAGCTAGGTAGGTAGTATCTAAGACTAGGTGGGTTACTACATACCTCTGCGAAATGTTGCACCCCAATCGTTGTTGAGCCATTTAACGCTGCCACATCCCATCTGTACGAATATACATCCTCGTGCAAGCTGGCCATTCGATGGGCTAACATGCGCCGTGGCGCTACCATGGTCACATCTCCGGCTATGGATGCATAGCGCTTGTACATGAGTCCCAGCGAGGGCCAGGTGGTATTTCCCCAGCCATAGGGGCAGCCAATGGCGGGGACATTGGGGTAGTAGGACAGCAGCTGGGTAGCTTGGGAACGGTTGAGGATCCAACGCTTGGATGCTGTGCTACTCGCTTAGCACGATGTGACTTAAAAATGCTATACACAACACATTGATGCAGTCCTCAACGGTGTTTGTGCCGGTCGTCCCAAAACTGGTACCTTCATCGGTATTTGTCCCTAACAAGATAGGCACTTGAACTAATGTGCCTTCTCTGTAGTTGATTTGCGGATACTGGGTTATGAATGAGCCGTCGACAGTAGCAAACCATTCTAGACCCTCGTTTGCAGTGCTGTATAAAGCTGCGTATGGCAGCTCACGGAGACATTGTAGGGTATTCGATGAATTGGTGCATCTAGATATAGTATATTCAGCGTCATTTGATAGAGACTTGTTTGATATAGACTCACCCGGCTCTCTCGACGATTCGGTCGTACATTGGCTGGTGCCATTCTATTCCGTTGTATGGGGGCCCGACAGCATTTCCAGAATCCATGATTGCTAGGCGAACCTTAGTCTGGTGTCGTAAAATGGCACGGAGTACAGTGGACTATACCAGCTCTAAAAAGACCCTCATTATCGCCATTGTTGGTCACCAGATGAGCTCCAACACTATATGCACCACTGTTTATTCAAAAGTAAGCATCTGTTATACCGAAATATTTCCAGTGACTCACGCAGACTCGCCCCAAATAGTGATCTTGCTCGGATCACCGCCGAACGCTTTGATATTCTTCTTCACCCAGCGCATCGCCGTGCGCTGCTTACGCAGTGCTAGATTGGTGTTTCCTTCGGCCTGGAGTCCAAGTTAATCTCAAGAATCCTCTGTATCCAAGTTTCTATATATTGGCACTACCCTTACTTCCTCCGAGTCAAGGAATCCGAATGCTGCCAGACGGTAGTTGATAGAAACACCCAGAACTGGCTTGCCGTTCAATGCGCTCTGTTCAACGATATAGCTCATATTGTATCTGTAGGCAGCGTAGCATAAGGTTAACCACAGCCATCGGCCACCTTTCCTAGGTATGAACATTCATACCCAGCCCTATATTCCTCGACCAACATACCTCGGATCTGCAGTAGCGCCCTGTGCCCACCCACCACCGAAAATCCAGATCACAACTGGAAGCAATCCGTAACTCTCGTCGGCATTAGGTCGGATAATATTTAAGTTAAAGCAGTCCTCGTTCAAAGTGATAAGACCATTGTTGACCATGTCGGTGGTATCGGATCCATACGCGGGACAGTCGTAGCCGTACTCCGTAGCATTGTAGTATACCAGGTTAGAAGTAGTGCTGACTACTTCTTCTGGTGATAGATTATAATGTCCATGGTCATTATCCTTCGATGCATAGGCGCTCTTGAGCTCGACTGGTGTGAAGCGTATTGGCTCATCGGCATACTTGATGCCCAGAAAAAGATCCTGGTTGAATTCCGGAAGAGAGCGGCCCACGAAGATGGTCTTTAGGCTTTGATTGCTTATTGATAGGGTTGCTGTTGGGGTATTCGCTGTGTTACCTGTTGTTTTGGATGAGAGGGAGTTGGCTATTGTTCCGGAAATTATAGAGAGGAATAAGGTCGAAAGGACCGTCGAGGTTCTTGTCATCGACCGCATTTTCGAAGTTCGAGAGGAGCTCAAACTGACCGGACGAGAGTTGAAGGGTTTTCTTATACAGCTTGTTCTCTGCCAACTTGGCTGCAAAGTAGATTCTCAAATCCAGGCCATGGAGAATTAGACAATCCCTTTCCCGGAAATTGTATCACAACTAAAAAAATTCCACCATCAACGTGTCGGAATGAGCTGTGATCTTTGCCATGCGTGCTCATAGGTGGGAAAATTAAGAGGAAATACCGGGCATAAGGGGGAAAGCGACTGATCTTTTCCAGTTCGGAATTTAGCTGTGCTTCTACAGAAGTTCCTCTAATACTACGGTAAAAGAAGAGAAAAATAAGCCCAACCAAATACAAAGCGAGTAGTCTATTTAGAAGATGGTGTTCTAGATGATGAGGCATTAGGCTGGAAGCCCGGTGTGATAAAGAAAAAAGCGCTGCAGTAGCAACAAGAGCGTTGAAGGTACTATACATCCAACATGCCAGAAGAAATGACAAGGAGCATGCTTCTGTTCAGTCCAAATCAACACCCAAAATCCGTCACGCAACAACCTGGTTGAGACATTGGGCGAATATCAACCGGGTCAATGGGCTGTATGCAAATGGCGAAATAGCGGCTGAGATTCTTCATGTCCACACTTCTCATGCATGCGATGCTTCGATGTCAAATATTGGTGTGACGTGGCATTGAAAAATGGCAACGCCAAAGTGGGAACAAAAGCACCAAGCCGCTTGGGGGTGCGCATGAAGGAAAAGAAATGCAAAAATCTTGAACTCCGAAGGATACACAGGAGACTCTTATTATGTACGCTGTGAAATTCAAACACGTTAATCATCCTTGACCCGCTCGCCATAGGCGGATGAACCGGAGCCAGAGCCAAATCCAGTCGCACGAGACCTGCTCGCTGCCACCGAAGGGCTGTTATATTGATTAGACGAGGATGAGGATGAGGTGCCCTGTAACTCAGACCTCCGCGATGCACTCTTGAACGGGCTGGGGGAGTTCCGACCATCCACTAACCCGTCGTCAAGCTCAATCAGGTCATCCATCCGCCACATATTGCGACCCCTGCTGCTACCCTGCTGGGTGGTTGCTCCTTGCTGAAGCTCATTAATGCCGGCCTTAGCGCGTGTTGCTACCTTTCGAACCCACCCTTCAAAAGCCCCGCCAATGTTCTCGAGGCTAGTCGATGCATTGGATGCGACGGTGGATGTGGAGTCAAAAGAAGACGTCCGAAAATTGTCCGGGACTTGTGGAGGCGCGAGATTCGGTATATGCTGCGCGAAGAATCGAGTGAACCCATCTAACGCAGGCCCTGGACCAGTCGAGGTGGGGTCAAGTGTTCCCACCCCCGTGCCAGACAGTTGGATACTACTGCGTTGGCGGCGATGCTGAGGACGAATGGGGTGTGTGGTTTTGGGTTGGGGTTGGTCGCCGTTTGGTCGACTTCGTGGCAGTATACCAAATGATGAAGGTAGAGGTGGTGATCCGGTAGGAGACGGAGGAGTGATTGTTTCTCGGTAAAAATCGGGAGGTTCTGCATCCGAGTAAGATATAGATTTTCGACGCGTACGCGGAAAGAATCCCAATGCTCTTCGAGGAACGCGGCCAATTTCGACTGGTCCGGGAAACCCATCCATGTGCACCCACGATTCATGCTTCCAAACATGATTTCCATCGGCCCCTGACGCGGTTGCAGAGGTATCATCGGCAGAGGCAGCCGTCGGGGTTATCGAGCTGTCCCTGGGGTCTTCGTCATTCAAAAGATCTACAGGCTTTGGGGGAACAGGCCGGCCTTTCAGAGAGCACGCATCGACTGGTAGGAGAACAGTATTTCTGCTCTGAATGTTGTCGTTGGGCCAGAAACCGTTCGCCTTCCGAAACACAGCAGCCTGGCAGCCGTATTTGATCGTCACGCCGGTGATAGTGTCCGTTGGTTGCACTTTGTGGATATAGGCCAGAGCGTCTTCATCGTGCTCCGGCTCAAACGCTTGATATGAAATGTCGCCAGAGTCGCGTCTTTTGTGAGGGAGCGTACGACTTGCGATCGGATCACTATCAGCAAGGAGCAGCGCTTCTCTCTTTTTGGCCTGAACTAAAGCCTGTCGCTCCTCCTTTGTCCCAGTTCCGAACTGCGGAGCCGTCGGTGCCGATGGACCCCACGTCGACCTGGAAGCACTCTTAATATATACGTCAGACCGAGATGGCTTCCTTCGCGCGTGTGGTTTTGTCGCATTATTCGGAGTAACTTGTTCAGCATCACTCCCCAATACTGAAGATGCGAGGCTTTGGAGAGAGGACCACGAGGAGTCCAGAAAGTTCGCAGCACCTCCCGACGACGAGGCCTTTGATGGCCCACTCCAAGCGAACGATGTTGGCCCACTGCGAGTACTACGATTTATCGATTCGGTCGCACGTGATGGGTGTCTCATTGGAAGTGGTGAGGCTCCACGGGATGACAATGGCGAGGGGGTCCCTC